ACGTATTGATGAAAAAATTTTAGTATTGGATATTGCGATATTGGTGGATAATTTTATATTTTGTTATTTTTGATAAATTTTAATAGTTAATAAAGCATTTTTTATAAATTATTTACTAATCCTTTTTTTTAATTTAGAACTGAAATTTTTCGCATAAGCAGTACTTCCTTTTTTATGGCTAACGCAGCTCTACAACAACTTGATAAAAGATTTACAATCTATTAATATTTGGGATTTTTAATGTAAAAAACGGCACTTAGTCTTTTTGCGTTGATCAAGGTGCAAAATCATTTTAATTAAAATATAGATAAGTATATCCAATTCTTAAAAATACCTGTTATTATAATAAAAGAGATTAAATAAAAAAAACCCCGATTTAAAATTTTTAATTTATTATAGTTGTCTAAGCCCCTAAAATTAACATCATATATTGTTATAAATTACGAGTGTCCTGTACATTTTTACTAATCATTTTTCATGTAAAAATAAGGTACAGCTTACATAATTTATTTCGAATTACCAATTTATTCTAACGTTAATAATATGAGTTTCATAGCTATGAGAGTAAATCTGATTATCCTCCAAGGCGCATAAAAGGCCGATGGTCATAAAATTGAATGTAGAGCTCCAATCCGGATAAATCTGTCATCCGTTTATCCGTATCTAAATTATCCGGATAATTCAGATCGTTCATATATCTGGATAATTTGACAGGCATTCAGATAATTATCCGGAACACTAGTTGAATGACAAAATTATATATTAAGAGGATGTAAATACCCATTTTAAAAACTATTCTATACTAAACTGATCTATATCATACTGAACTCGTTTGTCAATATTGTATGAAGATGCATAATTTGTGAAGTTTGTAAATCAAAAAAAAAAGATATCACTACCGTACTACAAATTATATGATCTGCCGTCATACAATATTAAGAATAACACCTCTTTATTTTCAACTGTAGAGAAATAAGCCGTAGATCTCCGGTAATATAAGGGCCTTTCGGGCCCTCATATAACCGGGAATTTATCTCTTATTCCCAGCGTTGAGAAAAATTAACAATACATATTACGCATTATTATTATTAACAAGTTTGACTAATTATAATTCAAACCTAAAATTTTAAACAACTTAATATTAGATACCTTCCCGTTCCTGGTTTTGCGCGATGACTATAGATACTGGTGAAATGTTATAAAATAATTTCACCACTATTGGTGAAATTTGATGGTGAGTTGGTGAAATTGGTAACTTGAAATTATTACCGAGTAAAAGTCCTCAATCTCGTAATTTAAATCAATCACGACATAGGATCAGACATAGCATGAAACAAAATAAACTCCCAGGTTTTTTCAAAAAAACATCCATAACTCGAAATTTTGCCTATAAAACCAACTAACAAAAAAATTTCTTGCAAGCTTTCTAATGTTATCCTAATGCTCATCCTTACTTTTAGGACCGATGGTCCTCTTGATCCATCCTAAAGAGGACTGGACTGACCCGATCCTTGGATGGACTGAAGGGTCGTCGGTCCGGACCGGATCGATTAACAGCCATACCATTTACTCATTTATTTATAATTATTGATTAATATCTATTAACCCATAACTTTTGATATTTATCACAAATATTTTATTATCTACACTCTACTAAAGGTAAATTTAATCAAAAAATAGAAATTTACTTCTTTTAATTACTTTCCGCTTTTTTGATTTGAATTATTAAAGAGTTTAAGGATAACTTCCTGTTTACCAAATCTCTCTCGAGATTTATTTTGGATTCAATTTAAAATATGAAACATAATTCCATTTTTTGCAGAGTAGATTTAAGCATAACCACTTTCTAGTTTTATATTCAATAATTGAATCAGGGAGGTTGTATTTAATTGGGTATTTTGAATATTCAATCTATTTCAGCATTTCCTGAAGTCCAATTTTTTGAAATTCTTTTTCAAATAATTTCTAATATAAAATTCACAATAATTATTAGCATAAATTAAGTTTTTACATGTATCACATAAGTGTTTTTCTCCTTGCTATTCCACGCTCACTTAACGCATTCATTAATTTAGATTTCTTTAATTTATTAATTGATTTATCATTAAGAATCAACTTCAAAATTTCAAATCGTTTGTTAACTGTTGTATAAATATCATAATTGATAAACGGATAAGCTTGTTGAAATATTCATTGACTTGTTATCTATTAAAAGTATTATTATTATTTGTTTCCATAATAATAATAATTTATTTATTTATGATTTAATGAAAGTAATCACATTAATTTTCGGAATGAATGCTTAAATTTTAAGAAAGTATCTTTAAAAAAACAAAAAAAAAAAATTACGTGTATCAAAAAACCAAGCAATTATGGTTATTAGAGTAAGGAGCATTAATTTCATGTGTTCTTCGACTAATATTATTCGTGAAAAATAATAACGATCTGCTTATATAATAAATCATAATAACACTTGTATAATAGCTACTTATATAATAGTAACACTTGTAAGAGAAATGAAAAACAAAATGTTGCTTTCTTCGATGAATACGTATTCAAGACTATTTCACAATTTTTTTATGTACAAAGTTTTTAATTTAATTTACACTTTGTGTACGAAACCTTATTGTATGATGAGAGATTCAAGTGATGCATGTAGCCATATAATAGTCAAAGAAACGCCAATATATATATCGAAGGAACTTTATAATTAGACTTTACTAACAAACGTATATTATTATAAATTTCAGATGTTGACGCGTCTAGTATTACGTAACACTATTATGATCTAGCTCCAACAGTTATAGACAAAATTCCAAATTGAATTTTAAAATTTATAATAAAATACGATCATGGTTTAATACTTCACATATACTAATGAACTGGAACTCTAGATGTTGTTGGATTAGAAATTGAATTCTTGTCATCTTTGTTAAAATCATAATAATAAAAGCCTTGTTATTAAAGGGTCATGTTCTCGTTAATAAATTATATTGTTAATCTAAATACGGAGAAAGACATCGATTAACAAAGTTCATATACTGTATATAAATCCTTCGATCAATTAAAATCTTTGTATAGTACTCATGATTTAAATTAATGAATAGAATGAGATTAAAGAGAGGTGTTGTATGAAGTTTGTGAACTTGAATAGCGTAAATAAACGTAATAGAATGTAAAATTATTAAATAATGTAATTTTAATTTTTTGACGCTCAACAGCTAAATTGATATGAGTAAAATGATTCAATACTTCGATTAATAGATACTCTTTACACTAAATTAACAAGTATAGTGTGATGGAAATATTTACGAACCTGAATAACTTATTAATATTTTTTATTAATGAACTAAATTAATATAAATACAAAATAAAGATATGAAGTCTGAATCTCGTGATTTAATATATGTAACGGTAATTAATCACGTGTGTTAGACTTTGTTATAGTTGGTAGCTGACGTGATGTAGAATGTCCAGACTTGTGCAATTACATTTTAAACACATAAAATGCGTGGTAAATTTAAATTTTTTGATGAATATTTGTGCAAAATGCAATATTGCTTAATATCAACATAATAAAAGCCAATACATATAATATGTAACTTTTTAAATCTAAATTTAACTTGTAATTATTTAAACAATTATTGTGTGGCATAGTAATAATTGCTAGTTATTGATATCGCTATTTGGTTTAATTCCTAATTTAATTGCAATGAAAATTTTTTATATTGCATAAAAAATTCGTTTTAGTCTGGACACTCTAACGTGATCAAATTTAGCAGTAGTTACAGTAGTACAGTACTGCAGTAAAAAAAAGTTACACATCACATGATTCTTACATACGTACAGTACGTACATACGTGGATCCACTTTATTTGTCGCTCTGGGATTTGCTATAATCAACGATACACAGACATTCGGTACATTTTTCCATAGGGAAAAATATTTGCCAAGACTTAAATGAAGCCTAAATTAACCTATTAAATGCGGTAGTTTTATCTTTAGACATATCATTTAATATTTTTTAAAAACAACGACCATGGGGACCATCACCTGCATCCGGGTTGGCGCAACTCAGGGATAGAGTCTAGGATCCACTGTAGATCATTGTACACAGAATATACACCTATTTGTCATTACATTAAAAATAAAGTTCATAGGTCTACGGAATTCGAAACTGTTTATACTTAGATTTTAATAACGTGTAACCTTTTCATACGATTACCTAATGTATCAATAAGTTTAGCCTAGGCAAATCGGATTATATTTTCCGAATTTTACAAATGTTAATATTGCTGTCTATATTTTGTAAACAAATCTAGTTTTAAAAATAATATATACATATATATATAATTTTTTTTGAAAATAATAAAACTGTTATAAATATTTGGCTAATACAGTATTAAAGTCGGTTTCAGAAATTGGAACCGAAACTATGATTCTATTTTTTTTTCACTAAAACTATTTATAAAGATTAATTACCTAAAGTTTTTTCAATCCGATTGCGTATGAAGTCAAAAAGGCCGCAATCCTAAACACAAAAAAAAATGGTAATGTAAGGTACGTGCGTATAATATTTTAGATAGGAATTTTTATTCGATTATTTTTTATTATTTTTATTGTCTCATCAATTATTTTAGTAAATAAGAATTAAAAAATGTTTCTTGTTCTGCCAAGAATTTCCACTAGATATTATTACATACGAATTTCTAACATATAAATTAAAGTTGCCCTTGTATGTACGTTTGGTAATACAAATGATATATTTGTTTGTAGTTGATACAAACCGTGCATGTAGGATATAAAGAACGAAATTTTGAGTTAACAGCAAACTCCGGTTGGAAACACTTTCGAATTCATATATAAGTATATATAATTATTGATTATTTTGTTTATTATTACAAAATTTTTTTTTTCTATACGTATTTTTAATAATTAAATTATTCTACGGATTCTTCACTTTAATTATTTTCACGTTTTAATAACTATCATAAAGAAAAATGGATCAAAAAGATGAAATTAAAGACCAATCGATGGCTTCAATCTCTCAAACGGCTTTTTCTACCACAGAATTAACCGAAAGTCAAACAACTATATCTCAATTTACAACAGAAACTCATCAAATTGGCATAAAAAAAAATCAATCAAAGTCTTCATTCAATTTTCTTACGACTCTGAAAGCAGTATTTACTCGTAAGCCTTCAGTTCAAGACCCTTCTAACAAAAGTACAAAAATATTGCAAACACAATTAATACATCTTAGAGATACAGACCCCGAATATGGAGTAGTAAAAAATTTATTTGGCATAGAGACGAAAATTCATGCCATTATCAAATTACAAATGCCGACGAAATTAGAAAATAGACACGAGAAATATAAGAGATTATTGGCCAAAAGGATCATAGGTCCACACAAGGACGTAGATAAGGTTACGCATAAAATGTTTCATGGAACTAAACGTTGGGCTAATTGTGATCTTTTAATGATTAATGAAAGTGGTAATAATAACATTATTAAAATGGAAAATAACATTCCAAAATTTTGCCAAAGTGGGTGTGGATTATGCGGAATTGTGCAACAAGGGAATAGAAAAAATGGAGCAAGAAGTATGTTTTGTTTTTGTTTTTTTGTTTTTTTTTTGCAGTAGTGTAATTATTATGAATTATCTTGTTTAATTCCTTTATTCAATTTATTATTAGAAATGTGGTTTGCGCAACAGTCTGTCATCTCTCTGGGATATTGTAATACTGGTATTAAAGTTAAAGTCATGTTCGTTATTGACTGTGTGGCAAGAGCTCAGCCCTCAGGTGTTTTTGTTACTAGTAGAGAGAAGGTATTTATCTAATAATAAATTTCTAAGATTTTACATTATTCATTTTTCTTTACTTATTTATGTAAAAATAAATAATACAATGTAGGCAACACTCCCGAGATATTTGATAATTTTTGATGATCCTAATTTAAGAGTCTAATCATAAGTTTAAATTAGAGATATTTAACAATCTGTTTCTTTTATATCTCACGTCAACCGTGTACACAAATATTTATTTTTAATGTAATAAATCAATTGATTATAGTACGTTTTTACATTTGCTGATGTAAAAGTAAAAAAAAAAATAAATAAATTTTTTAAATGAATATAGATAAATAAATTTTGAATTAAATAATTGACTTTGTAAATATTTAAATCTTGTATAAATATATAAGTCGACAAAACATATATAAAATTATGGTCGTTACCAATTCAGAGTACTGTGGAAATTTTAAAGTATACCATTTTATTAATCGATTTATTTCAAAGAAAACCAAATCCATTTGTCACATTATTATCTATACTGTAAGATCTATTGTAACAGTAAGCATTGTATCTATTATTTGAGTGACACTAAACCTTTCCTTTATTATTTCTGAACAACATCATGTCGATACTACTATGTTTTTTTAAAATTATGTCTTGTTAAAAGATAATAATAATTATTATTGCTCTGATTTTAACCGGCAATTTTTGTTATTCATTAAGATTAAGTGAACTAACAACTATTTTAAAAAAATAGTATTGTATATTCATCCAACATTTATGAATAAAAATTTTATTTAAAAAGCAAAGCATGAACTGCATTAATCGAAAATTCAATATTCTAGTATTTATCATCTTATAAAAAAAGCCACTGTATTTGTGCTTAATAACGCACATGGGCGTTATTTCGAAACTCTTATTTTTTTAAAATTTATTTTTTATTAGCTGCCCGATACGAAAGTATCGGAGCAGCATTTTGTCTCGAATCGATCACGGGTGCGGTTTCGTGATTAT